TCTGGTACAAGTTCAGCTAATGCTAAGGTGAGCTTTCATTCCAATAACATCAGTTTGTTAAAGGTGTACTTGGGACTATCTGAGAGGCAGAATCCTCTACGGTTTATGAGGTATGCAATCGCATGGGGTGTACCACGCTCGTTACTCGAAAATGAGAGGCAAGGACGCTAGGGGATTGTGGTTCATTCCTAGCCACGCCTCTTATGGTCACAATGACGCTGCGACTTGTTGGCGTATTATTTGAACATAGTTCGCAAATCGTTCACAGCGTAATTACGAGTAAAATTTTCTATTTAAATATGAAAATAAAGTGTACAGGGAAATCGCAGTGCATGCGTTCCATCAGAAATTCTTTTGAAAAGAATGGGTTTTGCTGCAAAGTTGCCTCATTTCTGCAGTCTTTTCCCGTTTCCATTTTGCACTTCTGGAGTCAGCTGCTGTCGGAAAGGTCCTTAACCTTGCGAGAAAGCCAGGCAGGGTTCAAGTTTTACATTTTGGAGCGTCATGACTTATATTGTAGTTCGCTGCGGACGGTTGGGCGTGTCAGGCGGGATGAGTTTGGCGCGGTGCCAAACCCGTTCTCCACCAGTTGTTAAAGCGAGCAAGTGATATGACTGTATCATATCGTTCGTATTACTCGTTTTCTACCACTTTTTGTCGCACGCTTCAACAAGAAGGCAGAGAACGGCTTTGACGGCGTGACACACTCATACTGCCTGACACGCCCAACCGTCCGCAGCGAACTAGAGTATACGTTGTGAATCTGAAATGACCTTGAAAAAGGCTTAACTGACCCCAGTTACCTAGATGGAATACTATCTCAATGAGAGACAGGTGAGCAAAAAAAGTCGCGGGAAGGGCTGTCTGTCAGCGTGAGGGGCATGGTCAGGCATAAATCGCAATCTCGTAGCGCACTTGTCACGCCCTTCCGAGTAACAAGGAGGTACCACCTATGCGTGCGGAAGTGCTCACTGTATAGTCAGAAAAGATCTCTATCTCTTAGGTGATAGCGACCGGTACATTTAACTATTAAAATAATCATTCGTTGTATTCATTGGGGCACAGTTCGTGGGGATATCGAGGAGTAGTTATCACAAGAATGCTGAGTTGTGGGCAAAAGTCGGACCACGGACGGGATTCGAACCCGCATCTTCTGCTTACCGGGCAGTTGCGTTCCCTATTACGCTACCGGGGCCACTTTTGACCTCTCAGCTCAATGGCTATTTGTGCCATTGCCTTCGAGCACTCACACGTTCAACGTGATGAGCCGGTTAGCCGATATTTTATAACTGGCTGTTTTAAAAGCCGCATGCGCTATCTTAAAAGAATGCTGAGTTGTGGGCAAAAGTCGGACCACGGACGGGATTCGAACCCGCATCTTCTGCTTACCGGGCAGCTGCGTTCCCTATTACGCTACCGGGGCCACTTTTTGAGGCTTTTAGTAGTATCTAACAAAGCCTGTACAGGCTGCCACATGGAATCAAGTCCCTCTGCTAAAGTGGCTCACTTGTACCATTTCGGAGCTTCACGAGGGTTCACAGGTTGCTATGAAAGCGGGACCTGTCATTTGACATGAACCAACAAACAGAAGTGGAAGAGGGGCAAAATGTCCCCTCCAGGTCGAACAGCGCCTCATTCGCTTTGTTTTCTTCTTTTACACATGTGCGGATGTTTACATTGCCATTTTCAGCCGGAAGACTTGTTAAATCCATTACTTATGGCCTCGTTGATGACGAATCCTCTTGCGATGCAATCGCTTCTTATGGATCCGACAGCCCTTGCAGCTCTCTCGTTGGCAGGCTCAGCAGGGGCTGGCGCCGCGAACATGCTTCCTACTGGATCTGCGAAAAAATCTAAAACGTCCCACAATTCGTAGTATAATGTACCATCTTTTATTCGAATCTATGCATCTGTTCTCTCTCACCCATTTCTTCATGTACAGTACTAACCATCTTCCCCCCATACACGCAGTTGCTTTGATGTATGCGAGTCGGACTTTGTATTTCGGGTCGACTGTTGACTACTGGATTTCACAGTACTCTCTAGGTACAAGTTTCTTTATCGTAGCGCGAAATAAAGCGGTCCATGATCTCTATTCTCTTTTGTTCTATTTTCTGATATAACCGCGCGCGTTTCGTTCGTCTTACCCCAATTACGGTGATTACGGTGGCTCTAATCGATTAATATGTATGTTCTATAGTATTTATGTGAATTTAGCGTGTGGTCAAGTTGTCTGTCAAGTTGTTGTGTTTGCATCTTACCTGATCTTTGACCTACCTGGTGAATGTTTTTGTTTCATAGTTCCTCCTTGTTCCCCCCGATCCATCTGCGAAGTTTGTGGAAAAGGAATATCCATCATGATAATATGTGTAACATGAGCTGAAGTGAGCACTTTCTTTTAGTAGTATGGTTTTATGGAAATGTTTTACTGTCGAATCTCGTTTTAACTATAGCAACATCTGTGTAGTAATTCGAAGTCGAAATGAATTTCAAGCTTATATTGAAGGCTATGGTTTGCTTTAGAAGGGAGAAATGAAGAAATCATGGCGGTATCGCTGGTCTTCGTATCTAAATTGGTTCAGTGGTAGGCTCTATCTGATGCAATACCTGGTGACAGGGACTCCGAGAAAAAGCTCACCGGCAGCACGCATGCGGCGCGTGTTGAGGAATTATTAACGGTGTGCTATCTGGAATGGTTTCATCGCATTCGCGAAAAGATTTAGATACGTATCGCTAGGGAGGGTCAGCAAACGGAGGCGG